CATCCCAATTTAGAGAAGAGACAACTGGGATTTATAATGTCTTGCTGATATATTGCAAATTGTTCTGAGCTGAACAATCTTGTGCTTATCTGTGATGGAGAAAACTTTTGGGAAACAACTGCTTTTTGTCCTGCCACAACTTAAGATAATTTCTGGGCAACAGTATAAATATTCTAGATTTGTATTTAATAATGGCCCCAATAAATGCTAAATATTGTACATAGTTAATATTTATTTTTGCAGAGCACAAAGTAAAGAATTTTCATGATGTATATTGGAATAAATGACAGAAAAAAAGTGAAAATTGCAGAGGAAAATGTGGTAGCCTAAGGCCATATATACAAAGAGAGATAATTTCATCTGATGCCCCTTTCCTCTAGGTTAAACCCTAAGTGGTAATTAAAATAATAGTGTTCGTTTAGTTGATCTTTATTCCTGGGAATGACACAGAGGAAACCATACTGTTTTCTTAAGCACAGTACAGAAAGAGTTTGCCATTGCTTTCTTCTTTCTTCTACAGTTAAGAGATTTCCTGGAGATTACCTTTCCAAGCACTACGGAGGTCGGGCTGTTTAGCTTTTTGAGATCAGTCATGGCTGGCTAAATGCTGCAGTTATGTTCTTTATAGCTGCCACACAGAGTTCATAGTTTGCTTTGTTTATAAAAAGAGGATCTCATATATGATAGAGTCACATATAGGAGCATATTCTTCACATGCACGTTTTTATTTATTTGTTATTTTAATTTAGAAAGACTTCGAATAGATTACAGATTTCCATATTGATGCAGATTAAACATTATAAATATCAATAAAATATAAGGATTATTATAAAATATAGTAGCTTTAGACCATCATAACTATTTGCATATTCTTCTTCTAAATCAGTTTTAACTATGGGTTCTGCGGATGTTTTAAAAATAGGAAGACTAAATTTAACATAACCTCCAGGGTTCAGAGATTAAAAAATGTACGTGGTTTTGGCAGAGACTTGAAGAGGCAGAAAGATAGAGATGGATGGGCTCCTTGTTGAGAAACAGTTGTGGCTAAGAACCACATTAACCACAAACTCTGTGAACTCCTGTTATTTAGGGAACAGATTCCTAAAAAAAGGAAGAGCTGGGGGAATCATACAGTACTGACTAATGGACCCAAACCCACAATTCCTGGAGATTCAACCATCGAAATACAAACATGAAAGCATTTTAAATTCTGACTCTCTTCTACCTAAAAGACAAAGTTTCCCTGGACAAGTTACTCAGAAATTAAAGTCTAAGCCAGGGGTCCCCAACCACCGGTCCCCGGACCGGTACCGGTCTGTGGATCATTTTTTACTGGGCCGCAAAGCTTGGGCGCCGCCATCTTGTTTTGACAGCGCTTCTGGGTTTTAGGTTGCTTCCAGGTTTTTGGTTGGAAAGTGCTTCCGGTTTTTCAGTTGGAAAGCAGCGTTTGGGTGCTCGCGCCTTAGTTTCGTCGAAGTGAGGTGGCTTCGAACGAAGAGCCGTCCCGATGGCGGTGGAGTCTCACGTTACTCAGGTACCGGTCCGTGGAAGAATAAATAATCGTGAAACCAGTCCCTGGTTCGAAAAAGGTTGGGGGCCACTGGTCTAAGCAGAACGTGCCCAAGGAAAGGGCCACATTGATAAATTAAAAATCCTTGTGGGCTGCAAAGAAATATCTGGAGTACTGAACAGCTGTTCTCTGGCTAGTGGAGAAGAAAGGCTTGGAAGTGCTGAGCAACAGTGGATATAAATTTACTATTGTATTTATTGGTTTTTGAAAAATGTCGCTGGCTGCACAAAACTGCTTGGTGGAGCGCATGTGGCTCACAAGCTTGTTGCATGACGTTGCTGTTTGCACAATAGCAACAGGGAGATAATTTTTTTGGTCATTGCTTCAGAACTGTGGAAATTCTTTCTTTGGACTATTTGAAGTCATTTGGGCAACTAAATATTCATTCATGGCAACAATAATTTATTAAGCCAAGAATAAGCAATGTATCTGTAAAATATGTTATCTTTTTCTCTTTGTGACAACCTTGATATTTTAATCCTACCGTATTACTATTCAACATTATGAAGAACTACTAGCCATATCGAATTGGCTCAAAATCAATAGTGAACCATAATTATTTGTTTCAAATAAAAGAGGCAACTGGTTTCAAAAAGCCCATAACTGCAGTGTTAAATCCAGGAGCCAAAGAAAAGATTTTAAAGGTCTTTTATTTTTTGCCTTTTATACCATGAAGCCAAAACCAGTGTCTGAAAAGGACCTATAAATCTGAGGTTACCTCATTTTTCAAATTATTACTTCTGTTTTATTGTTCTGGGGTGGAGAACAATAAAATATGCTTTTTTTAAAAAAAAGACTTTTAAATGCATCAAATAAATAAATAAATAAAACCAGTAACTTGCTTATATTTAAAACCACAATATCTAAGGTAGCAGCTGTACCAGTTAACATTATTGTATTGTTTTATTCTGTCAAACATCTCGAGAGGTTTTGTAGCACCACAGATGGCCAAGGCAAATAAACAAATTATAACATTGACTAAGTTTTATCCAATGTCTCTAAAAGCACCTCAGGAGAAAAAAAATGACAGTGGTAATTAATAAGCTTGTACAGGCCTTTGAGGAGGTCCTTTGCTCTGCTCATTCAAGCAATGGACCCTCTTGATGAGGTATTACAATATGGATCCCTCTGCTTTTAAAAATGAAATAATCATGTTGCTTCAGTTCTCCATCGCCTCCTTGAGTACTTGCCATATACCAAGAAGAGCTTTTCAGTGAGGTATCGTCAGCATGAGGCAAGACATGCATAGAAGTCTCTTCCAGCTTTGGAAAGTGCCAGGCAGGCAGAGTAAGAGGGCAAACTGCATCCCCTTTTCATCTTGAGTTGTACCATCCCTGCCATTATGATATCAAGGCATAGTTGCCCTGAGAGAGTAATGAACAAACATCGTTTCCAACCTAGAAGGGCCCAGCAAACACCCTAAGCCATCACGTTTGTAGAGCTCGCCTTGAAATCGGTTATGATTGGGGCCAAATGATCCTTCAGGGAGCTTCTGACACAGAGGAAATGATGCTTCTTAGGCCTTGCTGGATGACATTACGCTCCCATCTTCAAAAATGGCAGTTAGCCATCATTTATAAAAGAATTTAAGGAGCTTTCCCCCTAAACTACAATAACTGTCAGAAACTTCTTTATAACAACATGGCTATCAAAGCATTAATCGGTTCTCCAATTCTACGCTTTTTTAAAACAACAAACCAAAGAACCGCGGCTTCTCAGCTGGCAAAAGAAAAGTGATACCAGCTTAGATCTGGATACAGTAAACTGTGTATATCTTAATTTTTGAATATGCAACAACACTATTGTTCTCAGATTTAATTATTTTTTTTACCAAATGCAATCTGGAATTCTGCAAGCTAAAAGGAAATAAAATTTAGGGATGGAAAGCAAATTGTGATCTTTGACTAGATTATTATTGTTTGTCAAATAGAATGATTACACAATTTAGGTAATCATGCTCCTACGAACAAATGTCACCTTGGCCACAACTCAGCTCAGCAGAGAGAGGTGCTGATGAGTAACTACATACCCATTAGTTCAGGTTCTTCACAAACCCTAAATACAAAATTGTAGATTCACCAATTTACAAAAGACTTATATTCAGGTTTTTTTC